AATGTGTTAAATCCTTTCATAACAGTCACAACGACTCTGCACCCCTCTCCGCATCCTTGCTCTCAGATTGGTTGGAAGTACACCGCATGACCCCAGCCGACTTGGAATCACTTCAGCAGGAGCTTCAGCTTGGATCTCCCATGATTCTTTCTGACAACTCCAACCTCCCTTAGACTAGATTCTAGTCTAATTCCCATCATGGCAATATGGCACCTTAATTTATTCTACCCAAGATCATGTATACCTCTAAAACAAGTGCCAACTTCACTATAAACAGTAGTTAACGGTGAAGAAAAGTTCATGTTTATAGGGTGTAGATTCCCCCCCAGTGACTTCAAAAGACAAGTTTGGCATGCTGTAGATTCTCTAATACACCTGTTCAGATTGTTTGTTTTTCACACAATCGTTTCCTCTATCCATATACATTCAGTCAAGCCTTACTCCTAAGAATTCTAACAAGTCTAACACATGGCTAAAATTGCTACCATTCATGACCAGAATGGAGGCCTAGATAGCATTCTGGTGCTAATTTGGTGCTAAAATGAAGCATTTCAGTTGAAGAATATGATCTGCTAATAAAAGTATAAACTGGGTCACAGGCAATAGGTTGATCTCAATTTTGTTTTGTGCCACAATCTTGATATTGAAACTGAAAGTCTGATCCTTTCAGACAGAAACTTAAGATTTGCCTATTGGCAGCTAAGACTAACTGCAGCAGAATGTAGAAGCACTACAAAAGATCTCTACTTGTGTTCCCTAGGTGCGCTCAAACTACAACAAAGGCACACTGAGCACTCACTGCAGACGAACTTAGACTGAAAAAGATCAACCATTGCCTTGGAACCATGTTCATTGTAAACGCAAAACCCACCAAGAGTGAAGTGTTAAGAGCAGGTAGACGTTACTAAGCAGGTTTGATTGGGCATTTCATGAATACATTTTAGGTATTAGTGTTCAGATAAATGATTTTGCACCAGCATGACAAATAACATTTGTTTGCAATAAAGGAACAAAAATGATAAGTCAACATTGGAGTTGGTTTCACCGCTTCAGTCTGCAAAGAAAAAAAATGAGTAATGCAATGAGTATAAACAAACACACACACTGATCAGCCATAACATTATGGCCACTGACAGGTGAAGTGAATAATATTGATTATCTCGTTACAGTAGCACCTGTCAAGGGTTGAGATATATTAGGCAGCATAAGGATTAGAGAGACTTTGACAATGGCCAAATTGTGATGGCTAGATGACTGGGTCAGAGCATCTTTAAAACGGCAGGCCTTGTGGGGTGTTCCCGGTATGCAGTGGTTAGTACCTACCAAAAGTGGTCCAAGGAAGGACAACCGGTGAAGTAGCGACAGGGTCATGGGCGCCCAAGGCTCACTGATGCACGTGGGGAGTGAAGGCTAGTCCGTTTGGTCTGATCCCACAGAAGAGCTATTGTAGCACAAATTGCTGAAAAGTTAAAACTGGCTATGATAGAAAGGTGTCAGAACACACAGTGCTTCGCAGCTTGCTGCGTATGGGGCTGTGTAGCCACAGACCTGTCAGAGTGCCCATGCTGACCTCTGTCCACTGCCAAAAGTGCCTACAATGGACAGGTGAGCATCAGAACTGGACCACGCAGCAATGGAAGAAGGTGGCCTGGTCCGATAAATCACATTTTCTTTTACATCATGTGGACGGCTGGGGGCGTGTGCATCGTTTACCTGGGGAAGAGATGGCACCAGCATGCACTATGGGAAGAACGCAAGCTGGCGGAGGCAGTGTGATGCTCTGGGCAATGTTCTGCTGGGAAACTTTGGGTCCTGGCATTCATGTGGATGCTATTTTGACACAGACCACCTACCTAAACATTGTTGCAGACCAGCTACACCCCTTCATGGCAACGGTATTCCCTAATGGAAGTGACCTCTTTCGGCAGGATAATGCGCCCTGCCACACTGTAAAAATTGTTCAGGAATGGTTCGAGGAACATGACAAAGAGTTCAAGGTGTTGACTTGGCCTCCAAATTCCCCAGATCTCAATCCAATCGAACATCTGTGGGGTGTGCTGGCCATCAAGTCCGA